TATTGTTAAAAAATTAAAAAATATATCAAATAAATTAAATAAAATTTAAAAATTTTACAATAATTTGAAAAAATGAAAAATTCTACAAGTAGTCAAATTCATGAATCATCATTCATGACTTTCATCATGTGCTTCGGGTGAAATGTCTGGTGTTGTATCATGCCCCTCTTTGTCTTGTAATCTATCTTCTGAATCTAGCCAATCCTTAAAGCAAATGCACATCTCTATGCTCTCATCGTTTATGCAACTTCTTTTGTCATCTAGCACCCTAGTACCTGCACTAAAACAAGACTTCGATAGAACTGTAGACATTGGAGGGGTTAGTAGATCATGTGCCATGGCGGTGAGAACCGGATAATTTTTCAAGTGTTTACTCCACCAAGCTAAAATATCAAAATTATTTGATACTTCACCTAAATTAGAAAAATTTGCTTGCAAATAAAAATTAAGTTCAGTAAATGAACTTGTTGTAGAACTAGCAAATTTTTGCCTTCTACTTATTAAATAAAAAAGCTTTTCTCTTCTACTACTGGGCTCAAAGTCAGAAGGAGAATGAAGAAGATGAATGAGTTGTAAGAATATTTCCTACAACTTCATATTCATACAAATTGTACATTCCAAATAATAAATTATTAATTTCTTTTTTTTTTATTTCCTATATCAATATTCGTATTTTCATAATATGTTTCAAGTAAAATATTTAAACCATCTTTCCTAATCCTAGGGTCTAATATTGTAGCTAAACAATAAAGGGGAAAAATGTTCTCCCAATATTTTTTAAATTTATTTTCCATAATTTCAACAATACATTGAAATTGTGGATTATTTCTATATTTGGAAAAACAATCACTAATTACCATTAATTGATACGATAAATTTCAACTAGTTGGATAATAAATTCCAGATAATTCATTTGTTGCATCATAAAAATATTTTAAAAAATCTCTTATACAAATTGCCATTTCCCAGTCTTCCTCAAATATCATACCATTAGGCATTTTTAAATTATAAAAATCAAAAGAATTTGTTTATGAGATATACAACTTTCTAACATAGCATAGGTAGAATTCCACCTATGCTTTACATCTAATATAAAATGTTTATATTTTAAACCATAATTTTGGCATAAATATTTAAATTCTTGTTTCCTTGCCCCTGAACTTATATATAATACAATTTCTAATTTTTGAAATAATATTTAAGGCATCTTAAATACATAAATTTAAGATGTGACATGCACATCTAATATGAAATAATTTACCATTTAAGCATGATTTTGATTGATATTTTAAAATATTTATTGCAAAATCATTATTGCTAGCATTATCAAAACTAAAGCATGCAAAGTATTTAAAATACTTGCAGCAATAGCTGGGCCACTATGTGGCCATTCAAGCCTATTAAAACTTAAAATTCTTTTATTCAAAAGCCAATTTTCATCAATGAAATGGCCGGTAACACAAATATAACTAATATTAAATTTGGATATCCAATCATCCGAAGTAATTGTAACTTTAGAATTAAGATTTGCTAACGAAGAAATTAAATTTTGTTTATATGAATAAAAAATTTTTAAAGCATCAGTTCTTATAGTATTCCTAGAAACTTTTTTATATTGTGGGTTTACAGAATGCAACCATTTTTCTAGCTTTGGATCTTTAGCTAACATAAATGGTTGTTCTACATGTACAATATACTTAGCAAGTTCTTGTCTCATTTTTTCTTGTGAATATCTAAAAGTATCAAAACTAGTCCCTCTCCCAATCTGTGTTTGGGTTGTTTCTCTCCCTTCATCTTCCTCTCACTCATCTGTGATCAGATGTCTGCCCAAACGACCTGTACCACCCTTACTATAATAACTAAAATCTTTCTTACATTTTTGGCAAACGACTCTTTTCCCCTTCCCCTCAATATCCTCTACTTTGAAAACTTTCCAAACTGGGCTACTCAGCTTAGAAGCCCTCCTTTTTCCCTAGTATCATTACTACCGAGGGTGAAAGTTCCACTTCCATCGACATAAATCGCATTAGTGCTAACACTATCGTGATGCGATTGAATGTCATCAATGGTGAACATGTTGGGGAATCGGTTTTGAGAAGAGCCGGCCATTTTTTTTTAATTCTAAAAAGATAAAAATTAATCTAATTCGACTTGCCCAGATTGTCGGTTCAAAATCCCAACTTGATTTGAAGCCTTTCAACGTCCAAGCCTCCCAAATTGAGATACTTGAGCTGGTTGAGCAAGCCTTCTTCTTGTTGAAAGTCGAAACTTCGATAAAGTTGAGACTTGAGAATTGGACAATGTAGAATCAGTCAATCAGCTAATCAGAATTTCTCAGATTGTAGATAATTGAGAATGTATGAGTATGAGAGAGAGAGAGAGAGAGAATTGTTGAATTGTTGTGATGAGAATGGTGGAGGATAGGGCTATTTATAAGAATTGAACATAATTAAATTGCTCAAAATACCCAAAAAACTATCTATTATTTAGTTGTTGGGAGGGGTATTTTGGTCATTGTAAAATTACTTATAACTTTACCCAAAATGTCCCCCTAAACTAGTTGTTATATAACTGTTAGAGGGGCATTTATGTCATTTTTTCAACCCCCATAAGCAAAATACAGAAATACCCCCCTAATATGGTTGTTGCTGTTGGGGGGGTATTTCTGTAACACCCCCCCCCAAAAAAAAATCTGAAATTAACCGTTGAGCCCCTTAGGAGGGGGGCCCAACGGCTATATTCCTGGGTGGGCCGAGCGTGGCCCGTTATGGGCCATGCTTCGTGTCGTGCCGCAGGCTGGGCCGTGCCGGCACGTGGGCCACGGGCAACACGGCAAGTGATGTCATGTCGTGTCGTGTCAGACCACCCCGGTTTACACCTCTACTTCTTCATACACAACCATCTTATGTTGTCCAATAAAAAGGGGTACGCCTAAGTATTGTTCCTTCTTGTCCATCCATTTCACCTTCAATGTCCTTGATATCATTCTGCCTTGCCTAGGAGTTTACCACCTGGCTAGAATATTCCTGTTTTCTCAAAGTTTACCACCTAACCAGAGCACCACCCAAACTCCTCTAAGATTCTCACCACTTCGTCAACTTCTAATAATGAAACTCTCCCAAATATATAGCAAAAGATTGCCAATGAAGGAGAAATGAGTTACCATGAAACAACTAGGACCAATCCTCACAACATGCAATTCACCCACTTCAACTGCTTTGTGTTTGATCAATTCGGTTCTTTGGTTTTTCGATTTTTTATATTTATAATATATATTATATAAATATATATATATACTATTATATTATAAATAATAAATGATATATAATATATAGAAAATATATAATATATATAAAATATACATATAAGTATATATACCGATCGGTTTAATTAACTACTAGTTTTTTATAGGTTAACTGAAACCGAACCGATCCTTCGATTTTTCAAAAATACCGAATCGATCCATTCAGTTAACCACATTTTCCGATTCGATTTTTTTCTTGTAAACCCCTATGAAAAAGTAGATGCCTCCAAATTCATATACTATCCTTTGAATGCTTAGCCACATTCAAATAGGTTACTCCCACATTATGCTCTGAAACTGAAAGTTACACGTTACATACCTCTTCAATGACATCATCCACCTACATACTCGCTATTGCCATTTAGCCTCTCTATCCCGTTAGAACTCCTCTATTGGTGGCCATGGTTCACACACTTGCACCTCAGCTCCTTTCTTTCCAAGTCTGATCATCTAGGTATTATTGTTTATCAGTCCCCTTTTCCAGCCCTTCTAATCGATTACATGCCCATAGCCAAGCACCCTACTCAAAGTCCTCTTTTACTTGTCTTCCCCTCTGTTCCTCATCTATCCCAGGCAAGTACAGTAGAAACAAAACACCGATAGCCTATCACATCTAACCAAGTACAGTAAAAACAAAGCTAAGCGTTTTTTTTGTTTTTTTTTTTCTAAGACTCCTCTACCCCCTGAACCAGTCAGAACTCCGATACACCCCTATATCGAAAAGCCACCATAATGATACATATGAGCCAATACGTATCAATACTTCGAACCTTGATCTAATCTCCGCCCAAACCTTCACGCCACCCCTTCCAAACACTGACGACCCTTCTCCGTAGTGGTTATGTCAGATCCAACTTGACCCAGTAAGACAAGCAATTCGTCCACAACTTCGTATTATCAACATTGATATCCCTGTTTACTTATTACCAACTCTCCAACCTTGCCTGCCACCTTCCTACTGATTGAATCAATTCTATATTCTATGGAAACTTGTGTAGCTGAATTTTAAATAAGGCTTAGTTTGAAAGGAGTACGATAGGTATAGTACAAATACATACAAAATACAACGTTGCACTCTACATATTTGTATTTGTACTCCTTCCAAACTGAGCCTAAGGACTTTCAAAAACCCATCAATTGTAGAAGTGTATCAGACTTCCATCGTCGAACCATAATAAAGCTCGTCATCGCCCAAGGACCTCTCAGCAGCACCGTTCCGATGTTTACTTAAACCATTCCACCTTCACATGTTTCCTTCAGTTCCCACATTCTTGGGAATAAACTGCCTATCGCAGCCGGATGAATGGCTCTATCCCCAAAAACCTTACCCAGAAAGCACTTGTTCCACTTCTCATCTCACTTTTTCTCCTACTCTTCCTCGACCTCCATCCCTTCTTCCTTCTCCAGCTTTCCCACCGCATCTGCTAATGCATCCTCCCCTGACTTCATCTCTAACACCTCAACCTGGTCGGCCTCCCACAGAAGAGAGAAGATACCTCCACAAGCGAGGTAAGACAGCGCCTCCCACTAGAGAAAAATTCCAGAGGTCCAAATTGCAAATGTTCGGCTATCATAATAAAACTAAATCTTTTATTATGCACTTGGAGAAAACACCGTACCTTGCCATATTTCAAGTAATAATTAATGTTAAAAACGGTAAAAGATCGAACTCTTTAAATAAATGGTCTTTTAAAAATTGACAAATAAAATAATAATCTAGTCAATAAATCGTAGAAGCAAGGGCTTTAAAAGAACCAGTCAAAAAAGATGAGAAAAAAACAGGTACTACCTGGAAGATGTCACAAATGGGTGGAAAAATTTGGAGAATGGGTGAAAAAAAATAATTTGGAGACCTTCAACGAGACTCCACATTCTGAATTTGTTTAAACCACAAATTGAATAAGAAATCAAACATAGCCTTAAGCCCTTACTTCAGTTCGCACTTCGCAGTTCTAGAATCTAAGCTCAAAGATTATAATAAGAAAGCTTGGAAAGATGGCCACCGTTATGCCACTATGCCTTCTCAGTCTGCCCGAGACTGGCCTGCTCGGGATGACAGAATGATACCCACAATGAGACCATACAGAGCAAGAGCTTCAGCAAAGATGAGAATGAGAATCATACCCACGAACAGCTTTGGCTGCTGTGCATTGGCCCTGAAAATAACAACCCGAGGTCATCATGGCAATTTTGGATGTACAACATTATAGGAAAAAATGTCCACGCATCAGACAACATTAAGATTTGCAATCAAGTAAACTTTTTAAAGGCATGCTTCATGTCACCAAATTCCTAACTGCAAAAGGAATCATTTGTTATTATTCATCCATCACACAAGCCTTATCCCAACTTTATGGGGCTGGCTACGTGAACCCTGTTTTGCCATTTAGTTCTGTTTAATGTCAATATTCAAGCCCTGGACAGAGGAGAATTATGTTAGGCTGGTAGCCGGCACTAAAACTTTTGCCAAACTTTATAATCATTTGTTATTACAAAACTAAAATTCAACTCATCACCATGGCTTAGAGATGACATTGTCATCAGACATCAGGCTGTGGTAGCCAGGGCAAGATGACAGGTTAATGGTGGCATTAATGTGGAATTGTGCTGCCATGTCCACAGGCTTCAATTGAGACAAAAGTTTGGCCCCTAAGAGATTGAGCATGGCTCGGCTCAATCCTAACTAATCCAAAACAGAGGAGGAGGGGGTGGAGGACAGCATTCACGTCTTTCCTTCTCTTGGAAGTTAAAGTTGAATGCAAATTCTGTTACTTCATTGAGCCAAAAGAAAATGGAAAACCAGGCTGTCCTCCCATGCCATGAGTTCACAGCCCTAAGCCTCCCCACAACAAAGCAAAAAAGAAACTACAGTCTTCCTACTTTCCTGCCTGTCACCCAACTGCTTATATTGTGTTTGATAATCCAAGTCAGGGTACAATAGAACATAAAATATATAATATGCTGCTTTTCATGAAATCATACATGTATATACACCTAAGAGAATTTCACCTATTGTTTATACACAAATATAAAAGGGTATGTTTAAATCATCATATAGCCTATGGTAATGTATAATACACAACATTATGCCTAAAAGACCAATACTGCTGTGTTTATGGGGCTTATGCTATGTTACCCAGATACAGAAAAGACACAGCTTGATGTGGTGTCAGATATGACATTTATACTAAATCTGAAGTTTCCAATACAATACAGCACCCTTGTGCAAGTTCTGGGTATCAAATATAGCCTGGAAATCTTCAGCTTGGTCAAGTTCTCTTTTTTACCAAGCCCTGATATCTCATTCCAAAAGCTTGGAAGTATCTTATTCAACAACCAGAATCAAATCTTTAACTGAATTACTTTCCCTATCCTATTCACTTTTCTTGCCAATGTTATTGCCATCTACATCAAATCTTTTCCTTTTTGCCTTACTGATCTAGTATACTGTCATGGGTTCATGTAGCTCTCTAGTTACATTCCATGACATTACCTAATCATATTAGCCTCAATAAATGATAAGAGTTCCAGGTCTGTTCATGAGATGATGGACCATTCCCAAAATGTAAAAGATACATCAGAACATCAATTTCTCATCTTTCCCATGTATCTCTTTAGATATGCAATCTGAAATTGTAAGATTTGAACTCAACATGTTATATAACAAGGTCAAAGTCAATGTGAGCAATTCTCCATGATGATCCTGCAAATCTATATTACACCATTACAATGGAAATTCCCACTGATCCTACTGTAACTAGTAGCTTCATGAAACCTGTCTGAGCTCTGGGATCTGATGCCAAGTTGAAAACTCAACAACAATCAGTTATGGTGACACCATTCTGCATAATTCTTGAATCCCTGCTTTCTTCTCAAGAAAAAAGGAATTCACATTCAAATAATCTTTATTGAGGATCCTAGGGCCTTTTGAACAGAAACGGATTTCAGAATCGTTTTATCAAGTCAGTTCTCCAATTTTTTTTTTTTTGATCAATAAAAATTTGGACCATTTCTCGATTTGTGCGTGTCATCCTTGCGCAGGGGCCATGCTAATCTTCTCTGTATCGTTCCAATTTTATCGGATGTCTCCGAAGAGGCATCAGTTCTCCAAATTTCTTAACTTCAGGTTTCGAATGGTTTTTCCATAGATTTCTTAATTTTAGGTTTTGAATTATTTTTCCATTAAGTGGTTTGATCACATATCAAACAACATAGTAGTTACTTCTGCAGTGCAATTCTTTTTTAGGATTCAAGAGAGACAAGTATATGTACAAGTAGCAGCAAATTACACTTTGGAATAAACAAATGTACAAGATCTAAGAAATTAGCTGGGTATTGAGCAGTTAAAAATACAAAAAGTTCCTCGCATCAATTTTCTGGAAGTACAAGATTTGACTGTAGTTTTGAGGGTAAATAAAATCTACTTTCCTTCTTGATAGATTTTATGTTAATATGTTAAGTTTAAGAATGGATATGGCACTGAACAGAAGGGAATGACATAAAAGAAAAAAAAAGGATTCATGTAGACAACTACATATAGTTGAAACAAGGCTTAGATGATGATGTTGATATTTCTAAAAACAGAACTGCACATAGAAGCACCATTCTCACTTCAAGGGTTGCATATGGATTATAGAAAAAAAAAAAAAAAAAAAAAGATGCACCAATTAAGCAGTTGCCAAATATGCCACAACAAGGCAATTCAGCCTGTAGATTAGTTAGAAAAGGTTTTAATTCAAACAAACCAAAGTCTAATTCTGAAGTTTTGCCACCTCAGATATGCTGGCAATATTATTTAGGAAAATATTAATTAATCACAAAATTCATGTTCCATAACTTATATACCAAGTACATTCATTAAATGTAGATTAAGAAAACCTATTTGAGAAACAAATATCAGAAAGAAAACCCCCTGTGAATTATGATCATTATCACCTGATTGGTTACCACTTTTATGACTGCTTGATTGGTCATAAGCTTTTTCTCTATCATAGTCAAACCCTGAAAGAAGATGCCAGGGATTGAAAGTTTTTGAAATCATTGTGCCAGAAATTCTGCAATTCATTGTTCAATGAAGTAATTGAAAAGGTGAGGGTTTAAATTCTAGTAAACTTAAATTAAAATGCTTAATTAACGTCTCTATTCTCTAATAGTTTAAATAAATAGTTATTGATGCAACAACTGCCACGCCCCACTCCTTTATATTCCATGTAACAACCAGGAAGTGTATCATAAGAAATAACACTCACACCAAAATCCAATGAACTGTACTATTACCAAAACAATGAATTGTACTAAAAATTAAAAACAAAACGAGCGAGCATCTGAAACATATTGTCAGAAGATAGATAGGGAAGGAGCCTATTTTAGCATCACATTAGCCAATCCGTGGAAATACAGATAGGGAATGAACCTATTTTAGCATCAAATTAGCCAATCAAATTCCGGAATCTTGCACAACAATAATGAATAAAATGATGGCCATTCATCTTCTTGTAAGTTCCAAATACGTCCAAAACAAAGCACGATGAGATCTAATCAAACATCAATGGCACATACTATTATGCAGCAAACATATCCATATAGATATTGAAACCAAAACAGATGAACAGGTAGCAAAATTCAGGAAATCAAAGATCACTTCTCACAATAAAAAGGAAAAAAGAAAAAACCAAAATTTTCACCAATGATCACAAGATCCGGCAAAATAGCATACATTAAAATAACAGATTACCTAACTCCAGCGTCGCCGACGATTCCGATTGCCATTCCAGCAGAGAGTCCAGCGAGCCCACAAGCAAGACCAGACGACAAGTGAGCATACCCGTCAAACAGATAGTACGACTTCGCCTTAGGGTTGATCCCGGTACTGATAATAACAGCAATGATCAAACCGTAAATACCCAATACTCCTGCCATGACAACTGGAACGATCGATTTCATGACAAGCTCAGGCCGCATCACACCCATGGAGGCAACCCCGACGCCACTCTTCGCAGTCCCATACGCAGCTCCCATGCCTGCAACGGATGCCATTATAATCCTAGAACATCCAAAACGGAAGAAACCTTAACAATATAAATCAGAGATCGGAGGGGAATAGATATATACATGAGAAAACGAGAGCCGCTGCGGCTCCGAGGAAGCCGAAGAAGGGAGCAGTTTCGTCGCCGCTGAAAGTCGAAGACATTTTCTACAGAAATTCGAGAAGCGCTAGCCCTAATTTCACTGAAGCTATGCTGGTTTACTCTTCGGCTTCTGGTTCGTGCTTCTCTTTCGAGAAATGAATGGGAAGGTGATGACGGTGACGATGGAGTTGGATGCCAATGGCTTAACGCAATCGAAATAGGACAGAATAATTCAGATTGACGAAAATGCCCTCAGTTTGGTATCAAATGACTTCCAGTATGGCGGAAGATTGATGAAAGTGCAAGGGACGCGTGGTATACGTCGCTAGTATTGGTCAGTCACCATGAGTGTCGTCGTTTTCTATTTTCTTGTTTTTTGGTGGATGGGCCCATTATGGATTGGATCCACTTGAAATTTCCTTGAAACTTCAACTGCCATGCAATTTGGACTGGTTCAGTTTGGGCCATTATTGGGTCTAGGGTATTTGGGTTTGGGCTTAGCACATTTAAGTCCATACTCACTTTAGGGCTGATTTTTAAGGCATTATGAGTGGCTTCATTTGGAAGCTATGGCATTAAGCCCATTAGTGCTTGATATAGTAGGACTGCTGGAATATTTTGGTTTCTCTAGTTAAAGGGTTAAATGCATGGTAATTCAAATGCATATGAATCAACTATCTGTGTATTAGAACTTCTATGAAGTTCATTGTTTGATTTATAGATGGGAATTAATTCATTTGGTCAGAAATAGTTCAAATGTCTCTTGAATCACTCTAAATGAGTAATTGGTATATCGTTTATTTATTTGATAATCTGTTGATAAATATATGATTTTTGTCCTAAATTTATTGTTTACTGTTTGGTAACTGGCCTTAATTTTTTCCCAATCCCATATGAAGATGGATCTTTAATTGTATTTTTGGAGTAAAGTGGCAGAACAACATTCATGTAAAACAAGACAAAGTTGAGTTGAGTTTAGGAAAAACCAAATTGTAAAACTATCATATTTTAATTATTTGGTTTGTTTGAGGGAATATAGGTCTAGAATTGGAATCGGAATGGGCTATTCTGATTCTAACTATTTGGTTGGGTGGAACTGGAATCCTATTCCCATCTTTGTGGAATCAAGGATCAAAATATCGATATCGAGTACCATATCGAACAATTTGGATTCAGATATGGATAGGAATACACTTCGAAAATGCATGGATATGGACGAAAAATATGGATATACTAGGAAAACACATTAAATTCCACAAATACATTAATAACACTAAATTTAAAATCATATAACCACAAATAATATATAAATATAGGAAATGTATATTTTAATTGTTTATATGAAAAATATATTACAACTAATATAGCAGGACAGAGAATGTAAGGCCAGATTCGAAACTTCACAGAATTTGGCATTACCTAGCTAATTTCCAAAGCTTGAAGAAAATGCCTCCAAATTCGAGATTACGCAATGTAAGGCCGGATGTTCAGTAGTTTCTACTACCCCACCACATAAGCCACATGACATGTCCGAAATCTATATGCCACATTTCACTAGATTAACTTTGGATAGACATTTATTTAAAGCCATTGTCCAGAGCAAAAACTTCACTTTAGAAGGACTGATTGAGCTCCAAATCTACCTAGCTGGAAAGTTTTCTTGACCTGAACTTATCAACTTACTAAACATAGACTTAACAGAAAACCTACCATCAGCTTCCCATTTCCATCTCCAAGCATCATCCATGTTTGGGTCAATCCTCTGGTTCTGGAGCAGGCCCAACATAATTGCATATTCCTCAATTTCCCAATCAAAGAGGCGCCTTCTACAAGTTAGGTTCCAACTAAAAGAGTTACCATCCACATTGAAATTCTCAGCCATCGAGGAGTCCTGATTTATAGAAATTTGATACAAGAGAGGAAAGGCATCTTTCAGACACACCTCAAAACACCAAGAGTCTTATCCAAAATTTAATTCTTTCCCCATTTCCCAAGTTGTAACCGATTCCTTCCTCAAATAAATTAGCGTTCTTCATTATACCTGTCCAAATGGAGCTTATGCCTCTTGAAATAGGAGAATTGGATCTCCAATCACCCTAGTCCACTCCATATTTGTCCACAATCAACTTTCTCCACCAAGCATTTCTTTCATTTGCAAATCTCCAAAGCCATTTACACAAGAGGGAAGAATTGAATTTCTTCAATTTTCTTATTCCCAACCCTCCAACTTCCTTAGGAAGACACACTTGATCCCAGTTTACAACATGAACCTTCTTCTCCTCCTCCCAACCTTTCCAGAGAAAGTTTTTCTTTAGTTGCTCCAATCTGTTAGCCACTTTGGAAGAAATAGGAAATAGGGAGAGGAAGTAAGTAGGTAGATTAGAAAGAGTACTCTTAATCAAAATCACTCTCCCCCAGAAAGAAAGGTATTTATCTTTCCAGGAAGCCAATTTCTTCTCCATTCTTTCAACCACTGGATTCCAAATCTGAGATGAAGTGTATTTAGCTCCAAGAGGGAGCCCCAAGTACTTGACCGGAAGATGGACAGTCTAACAAGCCATAACTTCTGCACAAACTTCTAGATTTGTAACAAGACCTACAAGGATAACCTGAGATTTACTCAAATTAACCTTGAGGCCAGAAACCACCTTAAACCAACTCAAAATTCCAAACACCACCTCCAATTGATTAGGAGAAGCATCAACAAAGCATAAGGTGTCATTAGCAAATTGAAGAATATTGACTTTTTCTTTAACCGGAGCAATTGCAAAGCCCTCCCAGAGCCCATTCTCAGTAGCCTTCTTGCTAAAGAAAGATAAAATTTCCATAATGCAAATGAAGAGTAGGGGAGAAAGAGGGTCACCTTGCCTCAAACCTCTTGAACTTCCAAAAAACCCCATCGTTTACCCATTAACTAAGATGGAGAACTTAGGAGTCCTAATACAAACTTTGATCCAATTTCTCCAAAGCTGCCCAAAATTCATTTTCTCCAAAACCAGATCCAAGCTGTGCCAGTTAACATGATCATAAGCTTTTTCAATATCCAGTTTACACAGAATACCTGGGGTCCCCTTTCTTCTTCTAGATCTACCAATCCATTAGCAATGAGAATAGAGTCAACCATCTGTCTACCCGGGACAAAAGCACTTTGGTTACAAGAGATAACACTGCCTAACACACACTTCATTCTTTTAGCCAAAACCTTAGCCAAGATTTTGTAGAAACTATGCAAGAGACTAATGGGCCTGAAGTCCTTTATATTGACAACCCCCTCAATTTTTGGAATAAGAGTGATGAAAGTTGCATTCAGACTTCTCTGAAAGGAGGCATTAGTGTGAAATGCTTGAAACACCTGCATCAGATTACTCCTCACAATATCCCAACATTTTAAATAGAATAGATTAGAGAACCCATCAGAACCTGGTGATTTATCATTTTCTAGCTTCTTTATTGCACCCTTAATTTTCTATTTTGAGAATGGTCTCTCTAACCAGATTTTCTGCTCTTTATTTAACTTATTAAATTGGAGCTCGGAGGGAAAAGGTCTCTGAACCCACTTCTCTTTATAAAGGTTCTTATAGAAAGAAGTAACTACAAATTTAACTTCAGAACTAAACTCACCACACCTGTCCTCCCACACCAACTTACTGATTGAAGTGAACCTAGCATGAGCATTTGCCATTTTGTGAAATAACTTTGTATTTTTATCCCCCTCTTTAAGCCAAATGGATTTATCTCTTTGTCTCAACTTCCTCTCTTCCTCAACTGCCATCTTATCATATTTGATTTTTGCAATTGACCTCTTAAGTCTCAGATCTTCAGACAAGGGACCTGCCTCTTCAGCTCTGTCAATCTCAACAATGGTGCTCAACAAAGCCTTCTTATCAGTAATCCACTTCATATTCTTCTCCTTACTCCAAATTTTTAGTTTACCCTTGATAGCCTATAACTTTGATGCCATAACGAAAGAACTAGAGCCCTCCACTTGCAACTCATTCCACATAGAGCTGATTAAGGGGATAAGATTTTCCTCCTCAAACCAAGCATTTTCAAACTTAAATGGGAATTTGACTGTCTCACAGAGACCACAAACAAGCTGAATAGGGCTATGGTCGGACATCGGTCTAGGAAGGGCAAGCTGTTTGAAATTAGGAAAGAATTCATCCCAGTTTGAAGAAACCAAGAATCTGTCCAGCCTAACCAGGGTCGAGACAGATTGGTTATTGGTCTAAGTGAATCTATTACACTGAATTAGGACGTCCATTAATTCCATACTGTTTATGAAGTCAGTAGGAGAGGATTATACCTGATACGGAGAAATAATATGGGAATAAGGGGCGAATTTCAAAACCCTATCCTATCTGCTGATCCATCTCAGGAGAGGATTATACCTGATACGTCCATTAATTCCATACTGTTTATGACGTCCATTCATCGTATGGACGCCCAAATCTTGCGGAATAAGGGGCGAATTTCAAAAATTTTTCTCTCCCTTCAATTGGGAATCGCATTCCCTACTTAGAAAATCATATTTTCAAGGATCAATCTTGAACCAGATCTGAACCAAAAGGAGTAGGAGAGGATTATACCTGATACGGAGAAATAATATCTCCCAATGAAGGTGTTCATGCCCAAGGAAGGATCCAAAGACTGCTCCCACTGAAAATGGCACAGTGTAGGATGGATCAGAATTAGCAGTGTTCTTCTCCAAGAACTCTGTCCTTCTTAAGAAACAACAGAATGGCATGTGAGCACAGATTCCAATCAATTCTTTCACAAAGAACAGATGTCAAGATCGAATCTTGACTTCTCCCACAGAGTTGGAGATCGAACTGGATGTCTGGCGGCAAGAAAGATTTTCACAAGAATTGCAGAAATCTTTCTTCAGGGATTTCAGCTCCGAAGAGAATGTGAGTATCTCTCTCTAAAGGCTGCCGCCCCCTCCTTCTTTTGTAATCCTAAAAGATCAGCTGTTGATCCAAATCATATTTGGATCAGACATCCTTTTAGATAATAAGGATAAACCCTTATCTTATCTACAGATTAGATCAGCCTTCTCCTAATCTCATTAGGAGGTTTCTAAATCTGAATCATATTTAGATCTGGACTCTCTGAGTGGATAGGGTTAAGACCCTATCCTATCTACTGATCCATCTCAGAATTCGCCCATATTTAACTTATTAAATTAGTCCAG